GAGAGAGAGAGAGAGAGAGAGAGAGAGAGAGAGAGAGAGAGAATGAAAAAAATCCCCTATGGGTGGTATGTGTCTTCCTCAATCTCGGGTCCTCGGCCAGAGGCCTGGGAGTTTGAGGGTTCTGCAGAGTTTCTGAGCTGTTCCTAGCACTGCACTCTTCTGGACAGAGAGCTCAGATGTTGCTCCTGGGATCTGTTGGAGCCCCTCTCCCAGCTTAGGAGTCACAGCCCCGAGTGCTCCTATCCCCACTGGGACCACTTTGGCCTTGACTTTCCACAACCTCTCTAGTTCCTCCTTCAGGCTCTGGTACTTCTCCAGCTTCTCATACTCCTCCTTCCTGATGTTGCTGTCACTTGGCACCGCTACATCTATCACCCCCGCTGTCTTCTGGTCCTTGTCTACTACCACGATGTCTGGTCGATTGGCCAGTAGCTGCCTGTCCGTCTGGATCTGGAAGTCCCACAGGATCTTAGCTCTATTTGGAAATCCCACATGAGACACCCACACATACACACATATAACACCTTTCACTGTGTTACAAGATCAAGTTCTAAATGCCAAGGTTTCTGAATATCTGTGAGCACCGTATTGACCCAACATCTCTGTGCTGGATAAGGCACAATAAGTTATTGGCCAGCTACCCTATGAACGGCCTGGAAGAAATTCTAAAAGATCCAACTGCCTTTCACTTTATAAATGCTTTCCTGCCCAAAGACAATTCCCCTTCACCACTGGCGAATTGCTATCTACAGGTCTTCAATATCAACCTTCAACAAATACCAATAAAATGGGTTTCTCTGGCCCATGACTAACCAGCCAAACACTTACTAGCTGTGCATGGATGCTCTCTTCACTTTGCTGCCTAATTGGAACTATGAAAATGGCTACGGGGACCCCCAGAATGTCTATACACCTAACTGCCATCTGTTATCACTCTGTTCTCCTTCAAGCGTAAATATAGAAACAAGCAACTCAACCTGGAAAATTAACAAAAATATCCCAAAATACTAATTTCCCGCATCTCATATACTGTACTGCATCCTCAAATCTTCGGACTGGAATTCGGAAAATTTGCATCTGTCACCTTTGAAAGGCAGAGAGGACCTGTTTGGTCCTACTTTCAATCATGATCTAGGAAACTGAAGATGAAATTCCAGTTCAGCTTTGGGCACCCTGCACAGACCGACTCCAATGCGACACCTATCAAATGGGTTTACAGTATTCAGGAACTTGGATGTGAGCCAGTCCAAGGCAAGGGTAACCCTGGCAGGAGATTTAAACTCAGGTTTAAATCTCTCTCACTAAAAGGCAATATTTAGCACCCATCATGTAAAAGCACACCAACTTAGTGGCTGGATGTTATGAAACCACGACCGAAATTCGTGAAAGACTATTCTGCACAAGAGATACATGGAATCTCCAGCTGCTAGAGCAACAGAGAGAAGACTTCACACTCAGCTTCCTGGAAGCATCTGGAAGCCCACTGTCAGAAGCAAGATGATAGATTACAGAGGGACTCTCAAGAGAATGGAATCTGGTAACTTAAAAATCATTTACCATTCATGGATATATTGCATTCTCTCCTGTACCTGTTCTTCCCTTTTTCCATAGGATGGAGGAAGGAAAAGTTGAAAAACTACCTCCCAACAAATCATGTTAGCAGCACAACTTCTGCTGGGTGCAGCAACCATCGTGTACCCCCCAGACTCCCAGGTTTTTGAAGAGAAATCCCATTTTTTTCCAGCTTTTACTACTGTTAATGCACTTATCCTCACAACCACCTTGATGGAGAATGATAGCTTACAAAAAAAGAAAAACAAAAGGATTGCCCAAAGCTGTGTATCAAGATTTCAGAGACGAGTACATTTTACAAACAGGCCTCCGAGATCACATCCACTAAGGAATACAGTGAGCAAGACTCGCTCTTACACAAAACCAGCCTGAAAAAAAAAAGATTAATCGCCTGCTGGGCCTGATAGAGAAGGAATACAGAACTGCAGTTCTACTTTGGTTACAGAAAAGAGGGTTCCCTCCTGGAGCAGCCTGCTTGTTTCTGGGTTGTGCAAAGAATCAGTGCAGCATTGCACACCACTTACATTACACCATCCCACTCATTTGCCAGCATGTATTCCTGGTCACCTATGACTACCCAAGCAAGATATGGCTTGCACAAGCTCTTTCAACAAGCCTTATGCCAAGAAGAAAGCTGTTGTCAGAATGGCTCCAAATACTGGAAATAGAATATTGAAACTAAGAGACATGTGCACTGTGACTCCTGCAAGCTTCCCCCACCCACCGGCCCCACTCCTTGCCCCCGAGCCACTCTGCTGTTTTGCTTTAACACCGTTTGTTCTATTTTGGGCCCGGAGGGATGGAAAAAGTGAAATAAACACAGAGAGGCGAAAGCTACACCAAAAGACAAAACCCAGCAGAATCACAGTAATCAACACATCTTACCTGTGCCAGGTCGTCCCATGATAATCTCCTTCTTGGGAGCAGGGTGGCTGGTATACTCTCCAGGGACAAGGAGAGGCAGGAGGGCAGCTGGGGAGGGGTGGAAGGCAACAGGCTGAAAGGGGGAGGACACACTGAAAATAGGTGGGGCTTGTTCAGGGGCAGATACCACACTAGGCTGGCTGGAAGGCAGAGTTCGCCCCACATTAATGGGCACTGGCATTTGCAACTGCCCTTTCCCTGACAAGTGTTCCTTGGAGCCAGCTTTCCCCATCCTTGGACTGCCCACTCGCCCCTCCAGGGGCTTCTCAGTGAACTTGGAGGGCAACGGCACATCTGGGTTGCGCACAATAACCGGAGAGTCCCTCTGCACGGCAGGCACCCTCCTCACGGTGGGGCTAGGATCGGAGGTCAGTCCAGCTGGCGGGGGCACCAGCAAGAGCGGAGAGGCCTGCTGAGAGCGCGAGGAAAAGGGCCCCGCTCCCGCAGGCGACACAGCCCGGAAGCCAGCAGGGGTCGAAGGGGTAGGGGTGTGGGAAATGGACTCTACTCCTGAGTCGAGACTGTCATTCTTGTGGAAGTCAGCTGCTGAGCTGGTACTACTGTGGTGCGACTCGGCTTTCCGTTTACTGGGGCTCATTGGCACCGTGAAGGTAAGGTTGGTCTGAAAGCTGATGCCTGAATGATGGCGCTCCCGGGAGGTGGCGTGATGCAACATCTCAGGGCTCAGCACCGCACCCCCGACCCCCTTTGGGGTGCTGGCACTCACATGGCGGCTGCGAGCAGCGGCCCGCTGGATTACAGGTGAGGCATTGATGGGGCTGAAGTTGGCTGGACGGAAGCCAAAAAGAGGGGAGGGGGAGGGGGAGGGGGCAGGTGAGAAGGGGGACTGGTTGGAGACAGGCGAGAAAGAAGGGGTGCCTGAACGGGAGCTGCCCAGGGACACCAGCATGACGGCCGCTTCGCACTCGTCAAACTCAAAGCGCGACAAATCAGCAGGGGCCACCAGGCGAGGCCGTGAGTCTCCTCGAGCGCTACTGGCCTCGCTGTCCCGTGAAGTCTCGTCCCAGTCAAACTCGGCACTGCCCTCCCGCAAACCGCTGCCTCGGCCTTCCGAGAGGCTTTCCATTTCCTTGGTGCGCATGGAGAGGTGGCGCGAGCAATAGCCCCGCCGCTGAGACTCCTTCATGCAGCCGTCCCGCGAGCAGAGCCGCCGCCACTGCTTCCCGTTGAACTTCTTGCGGATGCCGTTGGGGGTGCACACCACGTCCCCTTTCTTGTACTTCTGCTGGGCGGCGGTGAGGGGCGTACGGGAGCGAGAGGACCCTGGCGTGCTGCACTTGTCCACGGACATCACGCTGCTGCTGCGGCTTCCACTCGCTTCTGGGCTCAACAAGGGCGATCGCTGCTCGGGAAGGCGAGGGAAGGCGGGTGACTTCGGGGGGGAGAGGATCTGGGGTGGCACCACCACAGACTTCTCCTCTGCCCGCACCCCAGCGCTGATCTTAGAGACTTCAGCATCTTCGGGCTGCTTGGGCTCAGGGCACGGGAGGGCCAGAGCAGCTTCCTCTGGCTCTGGCAACGGAGGCGTTTTTTCGGGGGGCCTGTTGTCTTCAGAAGGATGGTCACAATGCCACGGGGAGCGCAGAAGGCGCAGAGCAGAGCGGGGCACCCAGGCAGAGTCTTTGCGGGCAGCGCTGGCAGCCCCAGGGAGAACCACAGGATGGGCAAACCGCACTTTGTAGGAAGCAGGCTTGGCACTGACTTCCACCACGGTGCCCTCCTGATAAGCCGTCTCCTCAGGGTCCACACAAGCACAGACAGGGGTGCCCACAGTCAAGGCCCCAGGTGGAGGGGTAGCATCCAGAACAACGTCCACAGTGCCAGACCCCAATGCCCCTTCATAATATGCTGTGACACGGTCCCCCACAAACTGCACCCCCAAGTCCTGCCCTCGCCTGACCTGCTTCACAACGGCTGGCTGGAAGAGTCCTTCTCGCTGAGCCAGCACCCGCTGGGAGCGCAACTGGCGCAGGTCGTATCCGCTGGGGGGCATCACCCACACGTCTCCGGCCCCCTTGTCATTCTCGTCTGCAGAGTGCTCGCTGGCCGTATCCGTACTGGAAGAAGGACAGCGCCGGGGTTCATCCTCCGAGGCTGCTGCTACGTTCTCGCTCCCATCCGATTCTTCACCCCCGGGGTACTTCCGGCACGGCGCGCGCGACTTAAACGTAGCCGTCTTGCGGTTCAGTGAGGCTTCTGTCCCGCAGGCCTCAGCCCCCACCTGCGCTTCCCCTTCGGGCAGTTTGTAGGGGTCATCATGCGCCCCCGCCAAGTCCCGCAGGCCGGGGTCCATCGGCACCTGCATGCGCCGGGCACCCACAAAGGCTGGGGGCTGATCAGGAGCCTCTTCCTCTGCTCCCTCTTCAACGGCTGTCCTGCGCTTCTGAGTCTTGGCCCGGGTGGAGGGTGGCGAGCGGCTGCAGCTGCTGCTGCCTGAAGAGGAGGAAGAGGAGGAACTGGCAGCCTTTCTCACTGGTTTCATCTTCCCCCCAGGCTGGGCACAGACTCAGGGAGCTAAGAAGAAAAAGACAAGAAGAAGGTTACAAGGCCAGCCTCTGCTCACCGTGCCAGGGCCATCCTGAGTTCTACTCCTCCTCTGTCATTGGATTTCTCCAATCGTCAACTCAATCCTCCAAGCTCAAGAACTTGACATTTTTGTTTAAAGCAGGCGATCACATGTTTTGAAATATGAACAAAATAACTTTCAGCCATAAACTACTCTTCCACAAAATGCAATTTCTCTATTGTTTCTCGCTTCTAAGAACTCGATGCCACTTCACTTCATGCCCAGGCTTCCCTTCCCCATTATGCTCATCCAATTCCCTATCCTGAACTCTCTTACTTCAAATGATAAGAAGGCACCCATTCCAGCTTGGGAGCATTCAGAAATAAAGAGCACACACACTTTTAACCAGCTGCCATATGTGTACGTACAAAAAGACATTGTGCAAGAATATCTATATGCTGGCAAAGGGATTTTTTTTTTCAATTTAAATGTAAACCCATTCTAAAGGGAGAGGGTGGTAGTCTAGACATTCACTCATGCTGGACTAAGCAAAGAATTAACTTACAATAAATCTGGGATTTATGTCCTAAATAACAAAAACACAAGTTTTCAAGTGATACAAAATTAAGGTGTCAAAAAAAATTATAATAAGGTTCTGTTTTATTCAGCATCAGGAGCTCCAGCACTTTTAATATTAGATCCCAATTCAGTATCAACATCAGCATAGGAAAGGAGAGATTACAACTTCCATTGATGTGTTCACAATAGCCCATAATGTGGGTTTAGTTTAGTGTCTGCCTAAACCCAGCCTTTCTGGTTATAAACCATGATTTATAGCTTATCATGACATATGAACCCAGCCACTATACCTTACTGAATCATGAGTAAAACAAACCATGGTTTAGTGTGAGATGTGAAGCCAGTCTTTACCTGCATTTTGAATCATGCAAAAAGATCTGAGATATATAAGAATGTCTATCTGGGTGGGGACAAATGTTATCCTTAATACTGGTGATTCTGCGGAAAGACACCCCTGGACTTCAGTGAAGTCCCAAATAGTGGTTTGCCATTCCCAATATTAAGTAGCTTAAAACAAGCAATTTTCTCCACACTTAATGAAGCTCATGTACTTTCCTAGTACTATATGTTCTCTCATTCATTCACTACCAACCCTGGCCCAACTGAAAAGATTCTGAATTTTATAGGATTAAGCTTGGACAGTATTGGGGGAGCTTAACTCATATACCATCGTGAATTATGGCGGGGAAGCGGGGGGGAGGTGGAAACAGAATTGTTTGGAGGCCTCCCAAAGAGTCCTCCTTAATTCCTCTCTCCCTTGCTGCCCAGAGAGAGAAGGAGGGTGCAAAGGAATGTGGAATGGTTGCAACCTATCCACTAACTTAGTCAAGTAGGGACTGAGGCCAAATTTCCATCTTTTTCCCCCACCCTACCAAAACAAGGGGGGGGGGAGAGTCTTCCTGGAAAAAAGCAATCTAAGGATTGACTCTACAATATTCTTAATGTTATTGTTTTAAACTTCCTCCTCCCAGTTTCCAAGCATCAGCTGTCTCAAGAGAAATGACCCACAGACACTGCACCAGTGGCCCCCCTAAGCTTCAAATCAGTTGCACATGTTAGTCTTCTTGCACCTTTCCTTAGATGTCTGGCTTTACCCTTGAATTTATTTAATGCACAGAATTCTGTGTATGCTTAGAGGCATTCTTTCTCCATTACACCACATCTTCTTGGGCTGAACCTCGGCATCTAATTCAGATTCCTGAAACTCAGACTGGACAAAGCTTGCAACCAATTCAGCCCCAGCGCTTCTCATCACAGCCCTCCCTCTAATTCCCCCTAGCCCCAAATCCCATTCCCCATGGGAAATTTCTGAAAGGGATTTTCCAGAGTCACTGTCTTACCCTTGCTCCCATATTAGCTTGTGCCATCTTTTCTCCTCCCCTCATCTCACCCCAGCCGGTGGCAACGCTTGCCTATACCCTTATCTTCAAAAGGCCAGCCCTCAACCCCTCCTCCAGCAGGTGACCTTGCTCACTCCCCCCACCCTCAAT